TTAAGGGTCCTGTGATTTAACATTGAAAATGAGACTATTCTTAAAAATTATCCTTGCGTCTGTAACTTATTGTTGTTGTTTTATATATGTAGAATATTTGAAAATTTGTTATGGACGTTTATCAAAGAACAATAGAAATGGGGAAGCTGTTTACAAACAGTGGAATTTGGCGTGTAATGTTGAAATTAATTGGGTTGTCAACTAGTATAGATCCTCGGGGACGTTACTTCGAACAAGAAGTATTGTTTTGATATAAACAGTGGAATTTTCACGTTTAAACGAATAAAAATGACTATTTGAAACTCTTTATCTAGATGATAAATTTGACCATCTCTGATTTTAACGAAGATATATTCTATTAATAAACATTTACTAACAAAGAAATATAATTGGATGACACCCACCTTCGCATTCATCAGCTTTCATATCGCTTACTCGCTTCATTCGATAGGAGTACTTTTTTTTCGATACCGAGTATCTATGTATCGTAGTAGAAAGTATCGATATAAAAGTACTCGGTATCGAAACGAAAGTATCGATAATTTACTTGTATTTACTGGGATCGTTTGATCCCTACCCTATGCTACACTTCATTTTTCGGTATCCACCTTGACACGATCATTTCTCCCCTCGCTCGTAATTCAAAGGATCCTCTCCTTATTACATGTTTCGCCGTGTATCGTGCCCGTCAAAAGCATCCCCTCTCGCTATCCACTTTCCAATAAATACGGTTCGAGAAAACGTGGCCTGGGGGGGGGGGGGGTTGGAGTAGCAGCAGAAACAGGTATGAAATTGCATACAGGCTCGCGAGTATCATAACACCCTCCTTTCGCTCGTTACGAAGGAACGCCAATTGAACCGACAACAACTCGTCCAATCGTCCCCGGGGCTGGAACTCGATAACCGGTGAAAACGCAACGGAATCCGTATGGCAGACGGTAGGGAACGTGGGACACGGGGGACAATGGGAGAGAATGGTCGAGCGGGACAGAGGACCGTCGAAAAATGTACGGCCAAGGGTCGAAAGCTCAGCGTCACGTTCCGCAGTGTGCGCGTCCCGTCTCCACTCGAGCTTCTTTACTGGTTAAGCTCGCCGACTCGTCTCTAAATCGAATAAAAGTCAGATAGTCCCCGGCTTCCGCTTTATTTACGAGAGGACAGAAAGAACAGGGCAACTACTGAAAGGAAGTGAAAGGAAGATGAGATAGTCGTGGGAGGGGTCGGAGGGGGATGAGCCGTGTACACGATATTGGATGAAATGGACGCGCGATCATAGGAGTTGTCGTTATTTTCGATTCATGGATTATCACTGCACTTGATCGTGAATCGAAACCTATGTGTCCAGTGTGGACGTGGATGATTTTGAGGAACGCGATACGGATTGAGAGCTAATTGACGGATAGGTTTAGAATATTGAATCAGTTTGTTGAGAAGGATTCCTTTTTGGTAGTGGAGGTAGGGACGAATCGGTACAAGTAAATACGAGTACATTACTCGATACTTTTGTTTCCCTACTGATTACTTCTGTAGTAAAAAGTACTCGTATCGAATGGAGTGAATATCGACCCATCAACATTGGATATTACTTTCAACACAAAACAATGTTGTTTATATTAATAATTAAGCAATGTGTACTTAAGAATTTTCAATATTATAGTAATATAGGTATATATGGTTGTGTGAGCTTCCAAAAATGGTATTTTCAAATATAGAACAAGTTTTCCTGCATTGTTTCCTGCAGTATCTCCATCTATCATCTATGTTATGTTGGACATAACCTTGTTCAATATGCATGCTACATCCCCAATGAAATACTTTACTACTTAAATTTAGCAAATTTAATTCACTTGCGAAGTCAAAGAAATATTGTGGTCAGACACTTTTGGATGGGACAGTATATGGGTGTGATGCTAGTGTAATTGGGCACAATTGATTCTTTCTAGAAAGCTAGTAGAATTGATTGAAAATTAAAATCAGTTATTCGTGCGGGACAGGGTTCCCAAGAAAAACGACTTCGAAGCTCGACATGCAACTTACTGTCATTAGTGCCAGAAGTAAGTAGAAACAGTAAGTAATGACCAGACACATTAACAAAGTCGTAACCAATGGCATGCATATTCCATAAATATTTAGTTCCCCGAACACGCAACCTACTGAGAAAAAAAAACTGTCGATTTATTCTCGCAATGTTTTATGCTCTGCTATATTATATTATATTATTTATACTACACTTTTAAGTGTAACATTACTTATTAACTACTTGCGAAAAGCAATTATCTTAACCACTCGAATTATAAGTACATTCCAAGTAAATTATCATAAAATCGTGTTACTTTCGTCCATAACATTCTCGGTCGAACGTTCCCCATTATTTCCCAGGGCAGATCGTTGAAATTTCTTCTACCAGAATTCTGCCCCGTTTTACGTTCCTCGAAACAGAATTCCGGACGCGAGAGTAAACACGCGGCAACAATCTAGACGAAGGGGGGCGCGATTCCCGTATAATTTCCATGGGAATCCAGCCTGTCGAAATCGTCAAACTCTATGAGAAGCGGTTTATTAGCTCGAGAAGGAAGGTAAACGCCTCAGGTGGTAACTATAAGTGACTTCGCCCGTATGGAATATTTACACACGTTACACGTTTCTCTTGCATGCTGCTCCCCCCTCCTGAGGTAGGTGGGCCTCTGAGTTATGGCGGGTGCTCCAGCATTGTGTGTCTGTTCCGACGGCATTATCCACGAAGTGCCGCGCGGAAGTCTTCCGTGTATTTGTGCAACGCTAGGCCAAGAGTCCCGTGGAAACAATTAATCTAGCCCTCTGATTACTCCACCGACTACTGCAACATCCCCCCCCCCCAACTTCAGACGTCAAAACTCGAGATATTAATATGTTCTACCGGATGGCAGAACGAAGACCGACTCTTCCATCCTTCCCCTCCCGCCATTCCGTTTTCTGTAACTATGTACTTTCTAGACTTACGGATACCTTCTCGGCTGATTAAATTATTATCGGCCAGACCGTTTTAACACCGAGTGAAATACTTTCTGGTTTGCTTAGAGTAGTTGTGTGCTGTGTGAGACAGTTTGAGGGAGAGTCGTCGTTGGAATTAGTTATGTAAGATGTAGTAGATGTAGTGCTTAAGGGAATGTGATTTTAGTGATGTTAGAGGAGGGTACTGATGGCATATATTTTCGAGTTTGCTCGAGTTTGATAAGGTTTGCGGTGGTATGTATGGTACAGTAGATGGTGAGGGTATAGTGAGGTAGTGAATGTAGCTAAGCCATGAATGGAAGCTTCTTTCGTTCGAGTGGCCTAGATAAAGCTCTCGGGCTCTAGGTATTTCCAGAATTTCGAAAATGTTCAGCGGTGGTGTGAAAGGAGAAGTGATTTCAAAAGTGAACGAGTTTATTGCCTCGTTGTGTTGTTACTTTTTATTACAAAGTAGGACAACAGGTGATTCTAGATATAAAAATAAATAAAAAATGTAGAATGTTATTGATGCTTATGAAGCATTATTTTTTCAAGGAACTAACAATCGTCTGTCTCTTGTGTTTTCGAATGCGACTGGACGATGTGTCTAGCTGGTTGCACTTAAAATGCATACAGAGAGTGGTGTCTTATTATGTGGTTCCCCCTGACAGTGACATCGTCTAACTATCAATGTACGTCAAATTATCTTTAAGAAGCGATAGGATACAGGTATCAATGTTTATAAAGTTTAACATCAGTAGAATAATTACTAATGGGCAGAGAAAGCAGTCAAATGGAAAACTGCTACCAGATCAATTCTCGAAATTTACCTTAATATAAAATAAATTTCGAACAAAAAAATGTTCTATGTTTCTGTACTTATATTCATTAGTATCCCCTGCATAAATATCAATTTTAAATTCATAACATTTACATAAATCCCAGGAAGAATGATTTCTTCTTCTGTTTTATTATTATTATTATTATTATTATTATTATTATGCAACTAGAACAACATTATACCGTAGTCAATGTCTTACACTTCGTGTGTTTCGTCACGCAAAAACGTTATAGAATTACATAATTAAAGAGACGTACCGCGTGAAAGCGTGAATATTCATTACATCGCGGATGAGTAGGTGAACGAAAGCAGGATAATTATTATACTTTGAATGAAAATGATAACACAAAGGCCTGAAAGTGGAACTGCGGCTTACGAAACGACCAACGAGACACATTTTGTTTTCGCAAACAAATTCGTACTGAATGAAACTTTCATTATTCTGGCGGGAATATTGAGCAATTAAAACGCTAAATATTAGACCGTCGATGTTCATGCAAACGCCTGATCTAATAGATTATTCTACGAAACTAATTTATTCCATTTAGCGAAGAAATAATTTAATGAAAAAACACGTATGCAATGTTCTATTTTATCAGAATTCGCGCAATTGCGTCTGCGATATAAGGAATAGAATCTCTAATAAAACTCTATTTATCAATAAATAATTACTGTCAGATTAAGACAAATATTATATTTAAAACAGGATGCTTTTTGTACGAAAGACCATTTATCACAAATCTTCTAAATGAACAAATAAATTACGTTATACTGGGTGATAGAAAAAAAGGGTTCATAACTTCTAGGTTAAAAACAAGCATAGCGCGGCCTTATCAATCAGTCTGTCATCTATAACAAAATAAAACGCATCATTCTATTTAACTAGTTCATTCTATCTTGTGTTGTACCCTGTTCTTCCTACAGTTTAAACCTTTTGAAGGTTACTCGTAAGGGTGACCTTGATAGCATTTCTCAAGGTCATGACCATTGGGTGTGGGTGTTTGTCGTAAGTTCACCTAATAATTTTTTTCGGATCGAATCGTAAAATGTTTCTCTACGTCGTTTACGACGAACACAAAACACAAGTCGTGACGTTCTTGTGTCATTATCACCTTTAGATTCTACTTTCTTAGAACGATTGTACGAACACGACCGTAAGAACCAGAGAAAATCAAAACAATTGACTCACCTAGGACGTGCAGATAGCCATACTGGGTTTTCGCGGTCGCGGTGTTAATCTGGCACATGTACTTCCCCTTGTCTTCCTCTTGCACCTCTTTGATATGTAGGAACCAGGTCCTGTGCTTATCGTGCGACACCGATATCCTCGGGTTCCTGGTAATAACGTGATGTTGTACCGTCAGGATAGCGCCCTTGTCGAAAAGCATCCAGGCCACCTGAAACGAAACGAGAATCTCGTCACACCGTGAACACGATTTACGGTCCTGCATTGATTACCATAAAATTGCGTGTTCCTATCGGATACACCCCGACTAATATCGTCAGGGGTTGATATATCGTTGTTCGCGGGAGCACAAAATAAACAAATCGTAACAGATACGCAATATTCATTTCATTTGCAAATTCAGTACTTTATCTGTTTACCATCGATACGCTTGTACAGGGTGTTTTACTTTTTAACAATATTTGAGAACATAAATTATATTATCGATAATAAATGAAGGTGTTTAACCCTTTAACGCCCGGTATTGCACCTGTGAGAAACTCATTTTAAATGTGTCAAATTTTGTAGGCGATTAATATCTAACTTTCGTCAACAAGGATCCGTAGTTTCACAGATGTGAAGTAAATCTCCACGTTTTTAGTTGAGAAATTCAAGTATTCCCTCCAAAAACAAATAAAAAAAGAAAGAAATGAAAAAAATAGGTCTATTTAATAGCGACATCTTCAACTTCAAATAATAAGATGCAACATGTATATATCAGTAGCATAAATTTTGAATAACGATTTAAGAGTCTGGACGTTAAAGGGTCAAAATGAAAAATGAAGTGCATTGAAGGACATCTTACGCGATTGTTAGGATTTTTTTACGTCTGGAGAAATTTTGTTATATTGTTTGTGTTCCTAACTGAAATAATGCTCTAATAATGCACTATTGCTATTCTCCTTTGTTTCTAGATATTCCATGGTTTCACTAATTCTCTTCACAATCACACATGTCTTGAAATGACTAATATCTCTAGAGATCAGAAAGTTAATTTGCCATAATGCTATATCACACTGTTATTATGTATTAATTTTCCTTACATTTTTGACTCACTACAACACACTACACATATGTAACACTATACACAGTACAGTATTACTGTACATTATATTATAACACTTATAACACGAATTACTCCAACACACTTTACAAAGCACAGCAACCGATTGCAATACGTCTTGTCCGAACCATTAACCAGACGATACTAAATCGGAATTCTAACCTTCAATGGATCCCTCAGTCGCTTTGCACAACAAAGAACCGACAACTTTTCGACCGTACCTGATAATTATGAGTAGACAGCGGATTTTATGCATTTATGGCCCATAAGCCTCTGTGAAATACAATAAAAGACAAAGTTTCATTATATCCATTGACTATTTAAGATAAAAAATAAATTTCTACATCTGCTACTGTATATCTAAATTACTTTAGAAAATGTTGTTTTGCATAAAAATCCGCAGTCTAATTATGAGAGACTCTACTGAAATGGACACAAATGTCACAGTGAAAAAAATGCCAGAGCTACGTGCCGCTTTTTTTATATATAATACTATATTTTGTTTCAGTTCGACGCGATCTCCGGGGAAAGTCCCTATCACTCGCATTTTTCAATTTCTAATTTGTCCTTCTTATGTTTGATTTCTTGTTAGAGACTACAACTTTTTCATTCTTTTGGTTGGCAGGAAAAAGTTGTATAAACCTGATATTTCTTGAATGAACTACATACCGCTTGGAAATATGCTCTTGTACATCCAGCAATCGAAGTTTACTCTTTTTCATTTCACAATTTCACTTTGTGAATTTTCAACGATCAACCATGCAATACCCTCGCTTTATGACCTTTATTTTAACAGGAAAGTAGTTGTTCCGAAAAATTTGCCATATCTTTTCGTAAAGTGAATCTAATACGAATGGCCAAATACCTATGGCCGGCAGTTAGGGAAGAAAGATGGCAACGAAAGAAAGAGATAGAGAAAAGAAAAGAGAAGAAAAAACAGAAAATGAAAGGAAGAAAAAGGGGGGGGGGAATGTTCTTAAATGGAGAACTTAATCGTGCTGAACAATCTACGGCGCTTTCAAGCGGCCAAGTGATCTACAGACCCGGGGCAACGTTATGGATATTCATTCGCGAGATGAGTCGGTCCGGGAATTGCGGGCAGACTCCTTACGGACGTATCCGTGAGAAACAGGGATCGTGACGGTTACGTCTATGTACACGGACGTTATTTTACGGGGAAAGTTTTCCGCTACACCCGGCGAACGGACAAACAGAAGTCGATCTGCAAACAGCCGGCTTTCCATTACGGATCCTATTGTCCCGGCGATAAATTTGATTGGCTATTGATACGCGACGATACGGTGTACGATGAAACACGGTCTTCTGGTCGACCTGAAGGAGATCTTTGGAAGGATGTGTTGACGCAATGATCCTTCTTTCTCGAAGTAAACAAACGGGATCGAAATGTACGAAGGGAGAATTGTGATTTTTAGAAAGATATTTGATTGTTGTATGTTGTAGAATCTTTGCACAAATTATATGTTCACTGTGTGTCTATTGATTAAAGGATCGAACTGTATGGGCATGTTCTATAGGACGAAAGAGGAAGATTTTTTGTGTGAACATTGATTCATAAATGTTTTATTAAAAAGTATCAGAAGTATACGGTAAATCTTCGATGAATGTTAGAAGGCTCCTCGGCATTGACAAGGAGAGGTCCCCAGGTGTAATACTGACTTTTTAATCTGGATTAGCACAGTGATAGAGTATGAAATTCTGAAGCCAATGATATTTGTTTCGGTCGCATATGGCCATTAGTTTATGAAATATTAAATGTTCAGTGTCGAGGAACCTTGAAACACAAATTGAGGATTTACTGTATTAACAGTGGAGACAGTAGCGAAAATAATTGAATGGATTGTACTAATTGATATACGTTATACCGACGATATGTTATATTTAATAATTTCAGTCGATAATAAATCAGATCGACATTTCTGACCTGTCTTTATATTATTATAGGGTGAACTTGTCAGTACCTAGTATGACAAATGAGCAACAGAGGACATAATACATAGTTACAGCTATTATTCTTTTCGACAAATGCCAAACATAGTTACGGAAATAACATCCGGTTTCATATTACCCCCTTTGCCCCAAACAACACTGTTCAACAAAATTTTGAAAATTCTACAATCATGGAATAGAACTGGTTTTATTTCCTTGACTTTGGAATTGCTCAACACAATGGTAATCTCATTTTTTATCCTAGACAGAAGGATTTTTATAATTTAATATAAAATACTAATTAAATTTTTATAATTAAATAAAACTGACTAGCTATCTCCATATCTAAAAATCTAGACTTTGTGATGTGGTAGGGGATAAACTAGGTTACTTACGTCATTCTTCAACCAATAAAATTTGTATTATATTCAATATAATATCAACCACCGGTAACGAAACGATTATTCCATGCGCAACACACCTAATACCTACTACAAAACAAACGACACATTTTTAAGTTCGAGCTGATAACAAAGACGAAGAAGCGGAACGAGCAAGAAACGTCAGATTCATTTATCGCGCGAATGAAGTGTAAGGACAGTGATTGAATTCCGATCACGAAGAACAATTCGCGCGAAAATCGATACAGAACCGTGGAAAACGGGCAAGCGTAGGCAGAAAGAAAGAAGTGGATCCCGTTTGCAGATGGAAGAAAAAGAGGAAGCGAAGGAACTGTTCGGTACGCTGGAAGAAGAAAAATCTCCCGGCGTCGGACAAACGTCCCTGGAGAAATAAAGAAAGGCCGTTTCGCGAGTGTACACGATGTTGTTAACTTCTAGGTACCCTTACTTCAATGTAGTCGCGCCTTTTTACGGCGAGAAAATGTGCCGATGCGCGGGGAAGATACAACACCTTCGTGATAAGTCTCAGCTCCCGCTAACCGGCGGATGTTTACGGTGAGAATAAAAAAAAAAACAAGAAAGAAAAAGAACATCAGGAATAAAAGAAAGAGCTCCAGGAACAGCTGTTTAATGTTACTTTTAACTGGACGTAATCTTCCTGCTATCTGTTCGACGCATTGAACGACTGAAGGGGATTGCGAGCATCTTTTGAGGTTGCTTCGAGGTACTTAACACGAGGTTCAGTTGAAATATTGGGATAATCCAGTGTTGATAATTAAAAATTAAGGAATTTTTATACGAGTGAAAATCGTAAGGAAGATTTTCTAACAAGCACATTACAACTTTCCTATAATTAACACAAAACGCTTTAATAAAATAATAGAAGAATCAATGTTGAGCCTAAACACTACCGATCTTCACTGTTAGATTTATTGATGACAACTGAACTGAGAATGAATGTGTGCGTTCGATATCTACCTTAATGTTAAAGTTAGACCCTGGTTACAACGTTTCAAATCGTCGGTTTGCTAGAAAAGTGGCACTTCTAAGAAATCTTCAATTTTTTATATCTGCAAAAATTACGTGTAAAAGTGATGGTATTTAATTTAAACACTAAATGAAATTTACTTTTATGAAGGACACCCGCAATAATTTTAAATTATTGCCAACAAGTTTCCCTATGTAAAAGAAAGTTAATCTGAAAAATATTTTCTTTCGAAGCATTGTTAATACTCTGTTCATTTCATACACGTATGGTACTTCAAAAACAAAAATAGCAATATTTCTCCAAGTAAAAAAAAATGTAACGTCATGTATTACGTCATTGCGATTTAAGTTTTAGACCATTATAGAACATTCAGAAAAAAGTCAAATTGTCAGTTATACAATAGAAATATATTACATAAATCACTTCGACGTTAGTTATAATAACTTTTTAACAATTTATTGGTGTTCTAGTTAAGGAACACATGCCTTTTATTTATTAATTCTTATGTGGTATGACTTTAAAGCGCATATTCAACGAGCGTATCGGCCATTACACGACTTAGAAACCATTTAATTTCGATTCTGTAGAATTTTCAGTTGCCCGAGTAATTCTCCAATTGCATTCGGTTCTCGAGCTACTCTGGTCGAAAAGCTACTACGTTTGCACACAAACAGAGCCACAATGCCATTCTCTCTAACTTTCTACGGCCGAAATCCCCCTAAATTCCGCAACCGGAAATACGAATCAGGTTGTACAACGGCGATAAAGCCAGG